GGAAAGAAACATGACCATCCACAACAACAGTGATCCGAGCAGTCACAAGCTGGAGACGTGACGGTTTCAAGTAACCTTGAAACATCTTTGACGCACAGATCAAGATCTGGAACACTGTAATCCCTCATTTGAACAGTAAAACCACGCAAAGGACCACACTGTCAGCCGGATTTTTGAGCGCACATGACACATTCTTGGAGTCGTCCAGTGTCCTGTGAGATCGTTTCTGTCTGGGAACATTCTCGAATGCCTGAAATAGCCAGCCGCTGACATTTTCCTGAAGTTTCCCAGGCCGATGTGCTCCCAAGATGGATGCTGTTCAAAGCAATTTACAGCTTCTTCCTGTAACTTCCTGCCTTTTTGTTCCAGTGAATCAACTGAAGAAAAGCCCACAACCAGATGATTTATGATAAATATGGAGATTTCGCCCTCATTGTATCTTCATTATTGCATCTCTCCTCCAACTCTGCCTTCATATGCAATACAGTTTGCATACAATTTCAGACTTTGCACTGAATATTTTCCGAGTTTCCTTTAGTTGAATTTGGTGTGATGCTGTTGGCAGGGGACAATATTTATCACACGAATAATGAAACTGCTCCATATACGTCTAACTTCATCATATTGCTATTATTATTATTATCTCATAGACTCAGAAGGCCTGTGAATATGCAGTAGCAGGGTACGCCTTCCTCTCTTGGCTGTAGCATTAGGATTCAGCAGAGCCTGAAATTGCATATTATACAGTAGCTGCCTATAGAAAGGCTGTAAAATTTTCAGATAAAGAGAAAAACTCGGCCTTGTTGGTGTGATAACAATCCTATTTGTCGTAGGGCGTGAGCAGCCATCCCTCTCTGAGACCAACTGTTTTGAATGATTCTGTCTTGTCTCACACATCTGGTGCTGGCATGAGATTTGAGCTGAACCTTTTAGATAAAAAAGGGCTGTGTGGCACTGCCAAGTCCAAGGGGTAACAGAAATGGAGTAGGACTTCCTTTGTTTTCCCCGCACACTCATTATACAAAATCTATCAACCCTGAAACACTGACAAGAATAGTGTTGGCGAGGAGAGCGCTGCTGAATCATTGGAGAATATTGTAAAAATGCTTGAAAACAAAGTTTGTGCCTGTGTGCTCGAAAAAACCATCCAAGAGTCCATAATCTCATTTAATCGTTTAAAAACCACAGAATGAAAATAACTTCATATCATCAAATAAGTGGTGCAAATTGTTCATTTTTATCTCAGTTCTTTCATCTTTTTTTCCTCTTCCATGAACACATGTTGCAGCTTGTTTCTTTGATTGCTATTTACTCAGGAAATAAAGAGCAACACCAAAGCATCTTTTATGTTGGTACTCTTGTGCTAAATAGGTTTTTGAAAAAGACACCAATCGATTTAGCTTTTACAAAATGCAAGGTTTTTTTTTAATCAGCTTTGTTAGTCCGAGCTGAGAGGGAGAAGGAGACGAACACAGGCCAAAATGAATGGCAGGAACATAACGAAAAATAGCTGTCAGAGTATTTCACAGTGCAAAAATCTATCATATACACAGTGTCTGCTTGTATTTACATTGGCATGGACATACAAAATATACAGAATCTGTCTTCCCCGAACCCAAAAGATTAATAGTGTGTCTTACAGTGAGTACCACATCCAAGACAAACAAAAAGAAGAAGAGGAAGATGAATTTTATAATAAAATAAATAGAATACTTCTACCTTCATTCTCTCATAGTGATTGTCACTTTCTGTTCCTTCTTCATACCTGGCTACAGGGTCTGAAATTAGCACCTGCCAAATGCAGGTATTTGGTGGCAAAAAAATAAAATGGTATCTTTTTAGTAAGATTAGAAAATGATTAGAGCTACACATGTACAGTAAAAGCTGTTTGCAACTGCAATATAAAAGCATCGCTAGCGGCTATCAAACCTCACTTCTCTATCACCTTCACTGGCCACCTCATGTAACAGTTTAATTTAAAAACCCAGCTCATAGTGTAGCGAGTGCATGGTCAAGCCAGAAAGACACAGGGACAGTGCTCAGAGCAGACATGTGTTGGGGATTGTTTTCTTTGTAGTCCAAGGCTCAGTTATCACTGTTGGAATTGAAATGTATTGATAGTATAGTTTTGCACATTCATATATGCACGTGCACAGTACCCTCCCACCCCCCCAGAAAAACACGGCTCCACCAAAGTCAACAGTATGATTTAAACACTGGAATTTACCTTGTGCATTATGTTTTTCTTTTTCTCTTTGTGTGTGCGTAAATATGTTTAATATTTAATGACATTACTCTTTACAAACAATCTGTAAATTATCTAAATAGGTGTGTTTCTATCAGTCTATTTCTGTGTGCATTTTTGATTTGAGTATTAAAACACCTGAGTGGAAACAACAAAAATTCTAAAAAATTTTTTTGAAATATCGCAAAAAAGTTTGTACGCTTTGGGGAAGTGGAAAAGTTGGTGCAATGATATGCGAACAGATTTAGTGAGTAAATGTTGATCTACTTGTTGCCCGTTCTTCTTCTGCAGTGGCACCTGACTGGAGAATTAGCGCCACCTACTGCTTGTCCCATTGAACCGACTCCCGATCTTCGCATATACGTAATGGATGGAAAAGTGCATACATTTGCATTTACGTTAGATTTGAATGAAAAAGTAACGGATATCATTTTTTCTTTCATTTAGCGGCAGATAAAAAAAAAAAAAAAAACTTGCCTGCCTCAGTGCAAAAAAGCTAATTTCAGACCCTGCCTGAAAAGCAACAAAAACGTCTTTGAAATATGGCATTTCAATAGGTCCAGATGTTGGTTTTATTCAAGGGGGAATTTAGGGGATGGCCAAGCGAAGCTTCAAATGAAGACATTAGCTTGCAGTAATTCCCATATTAACCCCTTAATATATCTGAAGGAGATCTTTTTTGTGGTCCTGTGTGTCTTAATTAATTATTTATATTTGGTAATATATTAATGGTAGTGAATAAGCCAATTATTACAATGTGAACATGTGTTGTCCAACATACTATAAAGATAAACTTCAGAGCTGTATTCTCTGTGACTACATGTGCAAATGTTGCTTGACTCTATAGGTCTATGGAAAAATACATTTCAAACTGCACCTCACTATAACCTTCTAATATCTCATATGGCTCACACAAATTCCAGTTGACAAGGATAACGACTAAAAAGCTTCTCATATCTGATGACCGTTCAACAGATAATAACACAGTAGTAGCCATGTAGACATTAAATGTAATGAGTCTGTGAGTAGAACGAAACATGACATCTCAGACAGCCAAATTAGGTTTTAAATTATTCTAAAAGTCTGGTGATATTTATTTATTTGGCAGCAAATCCTATGAAAAGACCAAAACCATCAATGAACTATTGTCTGCGTATCTATGGGCCGGATATAGCTGCTTTCTCTGCACCATAGAGCTGAATTGTTCCTGCAAAACATTTTAAACAAATCAGTGGCTTGCACTTCATTACCATGAACATAGGCACTGTAGTTTATTTTGAGTCAGTCCTACATGCACTGCCCTGCTGCTGTACATTCGTACTAGAGCACCAAATGTGTATTAATCCACAAGTAAAAATAGTCCCTAATAAATACATTATTACTCCTATGTGGGTAACATTTGCTACAAACTACAGTGCCCAGCTGTTTTTGAAAATAATTTTATTTTTTTTAAAAATAAAACACTGATTTATTATTATCACTATTATTATTCTAGATGAGCCTGACGTTGAGTGTGACAGTCAGGATAGGGGAGTTGGAAAGTATTGAGAGATGGACTTTTCATGGAGTTTGTTAACAAAAACAAAAACATAGAGCCTTATTCTTAAAGATGCCACTTCTCTGAAGTTTTTACAAAGATTTTCGCTGACCGTTTTTCACATAAACGGGGAGTTTAACAAACTAATCACAGCAGTCAGAGCCTGCCAGAGGCTTTATTGGCTTTATGCTATAGGATGATAAATGTTTTTCACTGGCTGAATATAAATGTCTGCTATAAGTTATGCAGTTTAGAAGCTTATTGGGCTTCTGAGTAACTTTCATAGATCATTCATTAATCCAGCCTTCAACAAAAATGGTGATTTTTTTTAAAAAATGTTGGCTGTTAATACAAAAAAAAAATTTTGTGTCACACTTAAGGCCTAGACACACCAAACCGTCATTGAAGAACTAGTCACGATGAAGGCCGACTATTAGAGCTCAAGTTGCCTGTGTTTTTCGACCACAAAGTTGCACTTGAACACACTGCAAAAGTAAATGCTGTGCGCTAGCAAACAATGGCACAAACAAATTCATAGCTTTCTGCTAAAGAGTGGCTTAAAAAAATAATCTTACCTAACATACCCGCCTTCTTGACTTTGCTTGCAATCATCACATCCGTTATTTTTCATGGGCACTGAGCTGAACGGCAAATCTGAGTGATTTCACCTACCGACGGGCACTGCCAAATCTGACATTGATTCAACATGCTGAAAACAGTATTAGTAATAAATGTGTGAGACACTCAGCAAAAACTAGGTGGACAGATGCCCAGGGCAGCCTGACAGCTGGATGTCGGCTTGGTGTTTCAGGGCCCTTAAATGCACTATGGCCCTCCAGACTCTTAAATTGCATCCTGCAGTACATGACACAGTTATGACAAAGCAAGAATAAAATGACAATAGAGCGATCGGAATATATTTAGGACAAAGACTAGATTATTCATGTTTGCTGTCTGTGCAAGAACTTGCCTTTAAGATCTTCAGGGAGCATTTCTTGCCCTGGATGCTTACTCATATGAAATGCAACAAAATTCACAAATAAATATGCATTGAGGACAGAAAAGCACTTAAAAGAAAAGATAGATGAAAGGCATCGTGAGCATGACAAAGGACAACTGTGAGTAAAATCAGACGCTGCTTGTTCATCAGAATCATCAGCACGACTGATCGCATACTCGAGTCATACGCAGTGAAACGACTCTTGTGGCTGTTCAACCTCAAAATAAAGTTTTTTTATTTATACATATATACTTTGTGCATTTAGCTTCTTTTTGCCTTTTAGCCCTGTGATGTTCAGCATCAGCACAGATACAGCAACTGCGAAAAACAACAAAGCAGTTGGGAGTGCAGCATCACAGGACACACACTTAGCACGTACGTAGGAATAGGCAAGAATAAAATATCAATAGAAAAAAAATAAAGTCCTTTTGAAACATGTGAACACTTCTTCTCAAATGAAACATGGTGAACATATATTATGTACATAATTCCAGAGCTTCAAACACAGAGGGTCTTTTGAAATTTGACCTTTATCATGGCACATACGATCAGGTTTGTGGAGTTTGTTGGCGCGCGCGCGTGTGTGTGTGTGTGTTTAGCTTCAGGGTACCAACGTCTGTGCTCAGCTGGACATGGTACGCCCCTTCATAGCTGTTACCAACATACAGTACCCTTTGGTATAGTGAGGTTAGGAGGGGTTGGTTCTTCCACTTCATCTCAAAATCATCATCCTGACACCATCAACAAACATGATTCACCTCCACCTCATCTCAATCAGAACCAACATCATCATCACTGTCACATTCAGCGCCATCATCTCGTACAGTAAACACCGCCACCCTCTTTGCCGTCACAGTCATGTCTGTCTCCACGCCAGCACAAGCCTCCGTCACTGTGAGCGTGCTCACAGTTTTAGCAGCTTTAGGAAGTGACTCATGTCAAAAGCAGCTCTTGTCTCATGCCACAAATTCTTGACATCACAAGTTCGCGACAGCAATGTAAAGTAAAATGAAGTGTCAGCCTCGTAGCTAATCCATCTCCGTCCCAATGAGCTCTTTATTCCTGGACCTGCCTCTTCGTCCTGGGCTGAACAAACCGGCATCAGCCTCTGAGATTAAATCACTGAGATCTGGCAGGCAAATCGGATTTTCCTTTCCTACTGTACATCTTCATTTCCCAGTTGCTCCTCTTCGGCTGTTCTCACCGCTACGCTCTTTATCCTCGGTGTGGCTCAGCGGCTCAAGCGTACGTCTCTCCTGATTTTAGTGCCACCAGTTCAGAGTCCTCAGTGTGGCGTCCGTTCAAGTGTTCACTGTTACAGTCATGGTGGTACATGAAGGCGGGCACCTCAGTGATGGAGGTGGCTGTGTAGGATGTGGAGCGCATTGAGCAGTGGTCCTTTCGTCTCTGACCCCACTGGGTTTTATACTGCATCCACTGTCTCTTTAGAGCTGCCTGCACCTGGATGACACACAAACACAGATGGTTTATTATCATATTCAGCATTACTGACAACTTTTTGTCTTTGCATACATAAGACCACATCTCAGTGCACATGCTGTCAGTTTGAGCACTGTTTTGTGTTTTTAGTTGTCAAAGTTTAAATTCACAAATATTTCTCCTAAATGTTTTTATGTTTAGCCTTTCTGTTCAACTTTGACCCGGAAATGATCCACCAAACATCCAGAATTCAACCTAGTCTCCTGGAAATTCTGTTTGTATATCACTAAATTGTTTTCATAATTACGTGCAGGTCCATGACACCAGAATCCTGTCTTTGTGTCCAGATCACTGTCTGTGGCGACGAAAGCACTTTGGTTACAGTTAAGGAAAATTGTGATTTCTCTCTCCAGACATGCTTTGGAGTATAGCCCTATTTGGACGGGATTAATTTGACATGGAGACGTGGGGTAAAGTAATTATTACCAGGGAATTAAGTCCCATCCGAACGCGCCATGTCTGTAATCATTAAGGATCATGTCAGTAAAAATTCCGGCGACTTTTACCTTCTGTGAAACGGTCCGGAGAAAATACCTCGGGTAATATTAATCCCGTGCGAACGCGATCCTCTGTAAAAATGTATGTAAATATTTCATCATGTCCTGTTTACAACCATTTTTCCGTGTTTACAACTAGTTTTCCACATTTTTTCGATGATGGAGGCGTTGAAGAAACATTTGGTGTTGTTGGCAGTCGTGATAGTGAACATTCTTCTAATGATTGCATAGCCCTACGTGGGAGACCAATCAAAAAGGTCGAGAAGAAAGCACTTTTCAGAGCCACGAGACTTCTGGTTGTGTTAGGTAGGCCTAATATAAATCCATATTGCTAATCGTTGTGTACACACAATCCTGCTCATGGGCAATATTTCATATTGGGCTAATCATTAATTATTATTATCCTTCAGCTAATGCTTTATGCCCTGCTCCACCAACATCCTCCACCACAACACCGCAATGTAGCACGCACATGCCGACAGGAAGGTGATGCCAGGGCGCAAACCGAGTTACCACTCCCATCTCTGGTAGAATTACGGAGATTTCTTGTCCCGTGCGAATCGGACATTTATATTACAGACATCCTGTGGTAAACTGACATTAGTCCACATCCCTATGTAAAACTAATCCCGTCCAAATAGTACTTAGGTAATACTAATATTTTGTTTAACATGGTTTTCCCACATAAATATGACTCTGAAATGGGGCTTAAATCAGATCTACTCTTTCCCTGTTCCTCCGTCAATGTGTGTTCCCATGTTAGACAAAGATTGGCTTTAGTATTAGTGATGTAGCTTATCTAGCTTGTCCTGGGTACATTTGAATCTGAGATTTTTAGTGCAGACATGCTCCTTTAGCAGAAGAATGTGAAAACGCATCTCTAGTGAGAAACTTTGCACAGATACAAGTCAGTATAATTAAGGTCATTTATTTTAGGGGAAATGAAAACAGAAGAAAAATAAATTGTCGAGTGGAGTGGGACTTAGAAATTATTAAAAAGGTGATAATGAGAAAATGCTGCTGCAGTCACTGCGAGTGGATGTTGCATGACAAGACTGTCTACTTTGGCAGAAAACAAACGAAATATGTTGTAACTGAACATTTTGCTCATTCAGTCAGTATCAATATTTTTGCGTTCTGCCTGGTGTGTTCATTAGCAACCGTTTCTTATTGTGTTAACTGAAAACATAATTTGCCGTTTCAGATTAGCTGCATATTAACGTAACTTCGAGGAGGCACGGCTGTCCAATTTACACGCAAATGAAAACATGGCAACAGTGCAATGTGAGTAATGTAAACACCATCTTGTGACAATATTAATGCACTCAACAGCGATCTTAATTGCTGCAGCATGTGTGGATCACTTACATTTCAGTCGCGTTAACATATGCCACCTCAGCCAATGCAAACACCAAAGTCACATTTCTTGGAATGTGGCCAAGTTGTGCATGTGGCCATGTTGTTTTCTGCCAAGTTATAAAAGGGAGGATAGATGCAAAATCTATACTGAGCTGTGTGTTAAAGATTTAATTACATATTAATTCTCATCTGTCATCAACAGCTGCTCATAGTGTGACGAGCAACCTTCCCCTCAGCCATTCAAAGGTATCAAGAAAAATATTCATATCAGCAGTATTCAAATGGATGCATGATTTTTAAAACAGAAAATCAGAGTGCGTGTCTTAAATGTGGGACAAAAACTTCACTAGTCTACTTTTTAATTCCCCTGTAAGATCCTTACCCTTTCAGAAGTTTAAAAAACTTCAGAACAACAACAACATACTCAAACTTTTCACCCCCCAGAAGCTCAAATGCCTGAGAGAACTCAGTGTTCCAAATTTTACACCCCCTCCCTCTGTTCACCTACACTGCCAATACAGTTGAACAAAAGGAAAGCAACTCCTCGTGGCGACCTGCTGAGCATTCAGTAACTAACGAAATGCCACAATATTCTAATTTATTGCACCTTTCCCCTCTTTAAAATCAACTTGACATGTTCCGTTGTTATTAGACAGAATTTAGCAATAAGCAGCATCTTTTTAGTGATGACATTCTCTTAACCTGCAGCTGTGTTTGGTAATATGCACCACGAAAGCACACTTTAAAACTTAGAAGGTAAATGCCATGTCGTGACTCCTGCGTTTGTACCAAATCTTCCTGTTCCTGTCTCATAGAGGGACCCTGTGTCAAAAAAAGCACAACCTGTATTTTATTATTTTTGTCTTATTTTCTGTGCTAAGGATGTTTATGCATGAACCCCCGCAGCGCTCAGATGAGGTCGGGGCTTTATATAAAAAGGTAGCGACAGGGTGCCAGACTGTAAGCAGTAAGGATCCAAGAGGGCACAGTGCTGACAAACACAAATGTAGCGAGGTGAAACGCCAAACGAGAGTGAATCTAGGGTTTTCTTTTACTTTTACTTTCGCTGGCGAGGATGTTTACAACTCACAATCCAAATAAATTATCACAATACAGCAAATTTGAGACAAGGTAGTGTTGTAGTGTAGGAATACTGGTTGGTTTCTGGGCAAAATGTGCCGGGGGAATGTGTCTCTGTGTATGTGCGTGTTAGGGCAGTGGTTTGGGCTTCTCAGTTAGGGCCTCTGGCATATTATGTCCTAAGAACTGAATCCAGCCCTGGCTAAAAGCTGTATATTGTTGATAAATGAATGTGAGGCTTCAGGATTAGTGTCTTATTTGTTTTGTTTGTCAATTAAATGTTTTAAAATGGTGAAAAATTCCGTCCAAACTTGGCCCGCGCTTACAGCCCACATGTAGAATGTCTTGCTTGATGTCACAAATACAGCATGAAAGCTGTTTGTCTCACTGACCTGACATCACAATAGGACCATTGAAGAAACAAAGCAGGCCTGTGCAGTTTGGCCTTGAAATCAAAGAAGAGAATTGAAACCGGCCCCAGAAACCCGTGTCCTGATTAAGGGAGCTGAACTGGTCATTATGCATATGCACACAAACCCTCTCGTTCCCTTGTGACGGTTTGTGCGCTAGGTGACCCAGCATCACCCTGGAAGTGGGCCGGTCCTTCATACACACGCTCTAAAGACGTTGTTTATACTCCATACATTGTTTACGTCGCTGTTGCTTTGTGGCTGCTCATGTATGAGCTAATACCTGACCTATTTTCCAGGCTGAACCCCACAGTAGATTGCTCTGTTCCAGACACCCCATGCTGAATATTTAAATCTGTTGCTCTGTCACTTTATACATCTCTGCCCTGTTTTCTTATTATGCAAAAAAACCCTCCCAACAACCTCATTGTCTTTATGGAAGACAGAGAATTTCACTTGTTATTTTTACCCTCGCATATTAGCTTAAACACACAGAGATGTCTGTCTGATCTGTCTGTGGTATTCTCTCCACCATGGAGACCTGCTAAGAATGCCTAATTCAACCTTACAACGCATATTGTTGGTGCTTTGCTCTGCGGAGACCTTGAGCCTGAAAGCTTCTGTCACACAATAAGTCTGTGGAGCACAAAGGTCTCTGCAACACCATTAACTCCAGATCTGGGCTGTGATGGGAATCTTGCTTATTGGTTTGTGTTTGAACCAAGCCGAGGATGCTCGTAGTCAGACAGCTGCAGACAGACATAAAAAGGCTGACAGGAGGACTTGAAAGGAGAATCAATTTCCAGCTGGGCCTGGAAACCACAGTCATTTATAAACTGTCTCACTCTTCACCTGACATGACCCACCGGCTTTTACTGCCGCAGCACTACACTGGTCTCAGAAGAGACAAGCAGCACAATGCTTTATAACCTGTTACAACTGGACTAATGACAGACGTAGCATCTCTGTGAAGTTACAACTATCTTACTCAAGTGTTCAGTGCCAGAGTCTGTGTTTGGGTGACTTTGTGATATGCTATCAGGAGTAAGATGCCAGAGATCTGACCTGGAAAACAGAATATGAAATGTTTTGCCTGATGGAATCTGATGTCTTCTACTTAATGTCATAAGCAATGAGCAGTTTTATTGCTCCTTGGCTGAGCAGCTCTCAGACTAACATGTGCAGGTTGACCTTTATAAAAAAGCAATTGCGCTATCAGAACTATAGCGTTATTTTGTCACACATGGCTCCAAAAATTCAACTCTTCCTGGATACAATGTTCTTAAAAGTATACTATACAGGATATAAACAACTTTAAACTTGGCTACTCCTCCCTACACTGCCTGTATGTGCACTGCAAGCTACTATTATATATTGCATTTTTTGCAATGGAAAAGCCAATACTTTAGTTGGCGAGCTAAGCTAGATGCCAGTGTTCTGACAAATAGAACAACCTACTCAGGATGAGCTACCTGACTGATTGATTGGAACGGACTACTTCCTCTATGTGGTTAAAAGTATGGGCATGTCCTCTGGAATATTACTGTTTGCCTCTGAAACACACTACAAACACGCACATTGTGTTAGTAGGTCATTCTTTATTTGTCAGAACACATCAGCACCTACCTGTCCAACAGATAACAAGCTAACTCCATGTTGCTCTTTATGGTGTTTCGCTAGCCTGGCTCTGTCCCAAGTTAACAAAGCATAACTACCAGCTAAAGTTCATTGATTAAAGAAACAAGATATACCTTGGAAATTAGTGAGCTTTTGAGGTGCTGGTAAATCTCTACCTTTACGCCCAGCTCAGACCAATGGTTGCCAGTGAGACAAAATGGTTTTAGAATGTTGCAGAGAAAAGTTGCAGCGGTGTGAACTGGCAGGTCTGAGCTCGACTCAAGCCAGCTGATGATGTCACCAGCAACTCAGCTCGTCACATTGCCGACGGCTGGTTTTAGAACGTAAAGCACGTCACCTGTTTTTGCAGCCAATGATTAATTGGCACTTATTTATATTATTGTGGTGTATTTATTATGAATACAGTCCATCTGATGCTTGTTTTGTTTCTGTTTTCGCTGTTTCATCACTACAACAAATGCAACTGTAGCCACTATCTCACTATCACTATCCTCATTCATATTTTAAGAAGCTACACATTATATCAGTGACAAAATAAGCCTGAAAAGCTGGAAAGTAAAGAGAGTTGTTGCATAGAGATGATACACCGTCTCATTCAGTTGCATTGGTGTCAGCGTTGCCTGGTGGGAAATGCAGGATTCTCGTACCAGAGACTCAAAATTATCGTATTTTGAGGGAAATTATCGTACATCCGTCATAACCAAAATGACAATCCTACTGATGCGCTATAGGCAAATATAGTCACTCTAGTGTTTACTTTTTTGGTTTACTTTTTTTTCCCATTTTCCTTGCTTCTGTTTTTCCTCTTCTTCTTCTTCTGTTTTGAATCTCATTCTCGCTCGACTTCCTGACGGGTCCGAGCGCCTTGTGGGGCGGGTACAGCTGACCATTCACCCAATCGTGCTCATTGTTCAGAGACAAACGTCACCCGTATCTCACGCTACGCAAAGTGCGATTGGCTGGAAACATGTCACATGGGAACAGATGCCTTCAGGGCGCACAAAAACACTCTGGCATACTGATTACAACCACACATTCATGAAATGGTCAAATTATTGTACATTTGGCCTTTTTTGGGATTATTGATCGTACATTGTACAGAGGGCCAAATTATCGTACAAATATGATAATTATCGTACACCTGGCAACGCTGATTGGTGTGAACCAGCAGGTTTTTAGAACGTTGCAAAACTGCGTACTGCAAGTAGTTGCTTGTTTCAGCTTGTCTTGTCATGAATCTTTGGTCTGAACTGGGCATTAAACAGAGCCAGGCTAGCTGTGTCCCCCTGCTTTTAGCCTTATGAAAAGCTAAGCTAATTGTCTATTGGCTCAAGTTTCATACTTAGCGTACAGACGAGAGAGAGTGGTATCAATCCTTTCAGATAAGCGCAAAATTCCCGAAATGTCCAACTCCTCCTTTTCTCTGTACACAGCAGTACGTGTGTTTACGTGGAGCCATGTATTCCTTTTTCATTCGGGTTGGAAGCCCTACCCGAATAGAAATGCTCCTTGTAAACACCTCAACCCGAATGAAAACAGCCAACCCGAAAGAAAATCTAATTGGGTGCACAGGGGTGGGATATTCCTTTTCAGAACCCGAATGGAAGAGTTTTTCTGTCTTGTATACACCTCCTACCCGATTACAGCCATTCCGTTCTTTCTGCGCATGCTCGTTGCCGATGACGTATACAGCGTGCATAGCAACGGGCTGAGATAGAGCAGTCGGACATGGAGCACTCACCGGTTTCCATTCGCCAAAGCACGGTCATCTATCTCCCTTCTTCGACCTTCTACCTCCCTTCTCCTCCTCAACAGATGAAGCATTAGCAGAACAAGGTTGTTGTTGTACTGCTGCTTCAAGAATATAAACAAAACAAGCCCAAGAAAGGCACTAAGAACGGCGTCGTCAATCATCTTGTTATCCGGAATGAGGACTACAGTGTTTTCTTCTGGTAAACGTAACATTGCCCCGCCCCCTATCCAATCAGAAACCTTCCCTGCCCCAAACCTTGCGCAGACCCAAATAAAGGCGATTAAACTGATCTCCCGTGTAAACCCTCATTCGGAATGAATATTTCTCATATAAACTACCCGGAAAGACTTTAAATCCGAATGATTTCATTTAGATTTATTTCATTCCGAATGAGAAGCCATCATGTAACCGCACCTAGTGTGTAGCAGCAGTGCAATGTGGGAAAGCCAAATTGCAAATATACATAAATACTGTATATGTAGAGTGCTTACCTCTCCATTGAAGAAGCAGAATATTGTTGCCACCAGTAATCCCTTAGAAAGCAAAACAAGAAAATATAATTAGCGCTTTTTTTTTTAACAAAATGAAAGGAATTAAATAAAATCAAAATGTGTCATTTCTTGCAGTGAGGTGGGACAGAAACTTTACACTCAGAGCACTTTTGGAGAAGAAAAGTACAGCACAGAGAGGACCTGGTGATGCAATGAAATCCCTGTCTGGTAAGTGAATGAACTGACTGCCTACCTGGGAATTTCACGCCTGCCTGTTGTTTAATTAAATGCCCAACCGGTAGTTAAATAAAGCTAATGGAGTGCCTAACTGGTGCTTTAAAATATAATTCGGCTTCACACATCAATCACAACAACAACGAGGCAGGAAACACGGCTTTTATGGGTGGAAACTTTGAAGCGAACGTCTAAATCTCCAGCCTGAGGGCACTGACAAGTGTGGGCTTCAGGATCGTTTTTGTCACTGATGCTGTTTTTTTCCTCCCCCTTTATCATTGATTGGATTGTTACCAGATATGTAAAATACTTCAACCCACAAGGGCAGTGAAGCAGCACCTTTTTGCTTTTTTCCCCACCGTTGAGCTGAGCTTCTACTTGGCACTTTAATGGAAATTCTGATTAAAGTGGTGCCTTGCTGTCAGCTCTACCTGGTAGTGCATGAGTATATGCATGATGTACTCGTAGACCTCCCCAGCTAAGCGGTTCTCTGGCCTCCAGGGAAAAATGACAAACTGTATTCCCAGCAGGGGCACCAGGATCAGGGTGGCTCGCACTGCCTTCATGTACATGTTGGACTCTGCCCGGTGTGTGTCTCTCAACTTGGTCACCAACACTCTTATAATATTGAGTAAGAAGAAAAGGTTCACCTGCAGAAAGTGAGACAAATATTAAAAAACAATAGCCATTTTGCTAAAACTAGAACCAGAATAACAAACCTATTATCGTAATGTTCACTGTGAGATCCATGAATTTCTCTGTATTATGCTGAAACAGTGGATTAGCAGACTTACAAGGAGCGCTGCCATTATAGGACCATGGACGGCGTAGAGCAGATGGGTTTCCACACTCATCCAACAGCTACAGAAGGAAAAACCTATCAGTCAGTGCTGTCTGTGGCCCAAAATACACATGCACACACACATACAAAAACATGCGCGCGTATGGATCTGCACACTCCCGCTCTTTGCCACACACAGACGAGCACGTATGTAAACACTTTCTGTTTATTTGCAGAAGTTTCTGGAGCATTACTCACTTGTCGTCAAAATACTTTTTCCTTGCCACGGCGTGGATGGATGCAGGCACTAGAGGAAAGCCTTGGACGGGAAAGAGATGGCGGCCATATGAGGTCTTGAGTGAATTTAGGGAAATTCATTTGTCACTTATGCAACACTAAAAAAGTGTGGTTAGCTTGGTCAGTTGTTTTTCTGGACTCAGACTTCCTCATGAAATAAATGGTTCCTTAACGAATCTATTATTGGAAAGGCTGAAACACAGTGGATTGACTTTTGCGTTGCTCGAACCTGATAAACAACACCGCATGCTTAATTTCCTGTAGCAATCCTGTCTAATCATGTCAATAATAAAACCCACGAGAGGCAGGGCTCAGATTAGCTTTTTACTTTTCATCTGGATATAAACATAGGAATCCATGTATGGTCAATTTTCAGACACCATTGAGACCCTGCAGCAAATTTACCACAGATGGACCACACTAACTGGCTGGCCTCCACACACACACACACACACACACACACACACACACACACACACGCCGCATGCACAGTCCTCAAGCTCCCATTTTAAATGATGACCATCCATTTTGTTCAATCGCCTACTTGTTTGACAGACTGCACCCATTATTCCTGTTTTGAACAAGGTGAAAAGCAGAACAGCACTTAGCGACAGGAGGGCCAATAAAGCTGTCAGCATATGTCTAGGCTGAGATACTGTACAAGGATCAGGTGGATTGAAGTAAATTGTGGCTTATAGATTGTTCTGTCTTGTTGAATTGTTTTCAGTGAGGTCTTAAACTGCCACTGAGTCCAGCAGAGACATAAAAAATAAACCCAAGACACACAACGGAATACAACACATAAATAGAAAAGACAAGTTTTAAACAGATGCAGACGGACTCACCCCAGCCCAGGAGGTAGTACCAGTGCAGATGCTGCTCCTCTGCAAACACAGCCACCACGATGAGCGTGTGCAGGTAGATGCCTTCACACAGCATCCAGAAATAATTGCAGCCCAGCATGTACATGTGGAAGAAGTGCAACACTTTACAGCCGACCTGCAGAGAGAGCCGAAACAGGAATACTTATTTGTTTTGTCTGTTTTTGGACTTACTGCATAAAAAGAGACCTATTAAGTTGGTTCAATTCAAACACTCCTGACACCATCTCAGCAGGACACAAAAGAGATCTAAGAGGATGTTTCTGCTCTCATGGCACAAAATCATTAGCCAGTATTACCCTCTGCAGACAGAGAGGATGTTTATTCATTCACCCCCTCTGGAGGTGAGCTGAGATGGAAGTGAGGATTTTGCTTTGTATGGGGTGCTCTTTAAATTGTGTTTGTTTCCATTTACACATGGCAGTGGAAAATCTTTTGCATGTGTATATTACTGTAGTATCTTATACCCTAGCTACTATGCACTATTCATGCACCCAGCTCAGTGCAACATGTCCTATTATGTATTTTGGTCTTTCGATTTAATCATCATTGTGATTCTTTGAAAATAGATTACTTTGATGACATATTATGTTGTCAGTCTTATCCTTTCACAGTCCACTGAAACTATAATTACCGAGACGCTTATGGATGCACCATAAGCTGTAATTCTCCTAATCCGTTCTACACACAGGCTCCATGAGCCAGACTGTATTAACGTCTATTCAAAAAGTACCAACTTCTCTCTTTAAAAAAAATTTAATGGTAAGTTAATTTCACTTTTTTTCCGAGGGTCTCTTGGACATTTTGAAACACACTGTTTCATTTCTTTGGAGATTTGTTAAGAAGACATGTTTTTGGACTTGACCCATCTCAGATAGCTCCCCCAAACTTGGATTATGTTGCTCCAATAAAAGCCAAGATAGAGGCCAAGTGGTAAAACCAAATCAGAAATCCATCCATAAACTTATGCATAAGTTAAGAAATTGCTACAATAATGCTACAAAAAATGCTACAAAAATATTTCTTTTCAGTTTATGGTAACAACTCAAAAAGCACAATATCATACCTGTAGTGTGGCAAAAAATACTCTCTCCTTAGCTATTGATAACATGGTTCACAACATTTTATCAAATAATCCTCTTTTCATGTTTTGTTGATTCTGCAAACAGTTGATTGTCACTGCAGATGGTTTTAAATCAAGTCCCCAGACAGTCGATAGATCAATATTAGGCTCCATGACATTTACTCTATGCATACATATTGTTCCATTTCCAACCGAAACACTGTGATGTCCTTTTTATGCTGATGATACCATCTTGTACGCCATCAACTGTACCCAAAACCATACTTATTGTAATTCATTTAAAGTTTGTTCTAAACTCTAAAAAAAGACAAAATGTATGTATTTCACATGAGCATCAACTATTGTTGTTGCTACAGTGGTCCATGTTCTCTATGGAAATCTAATCGATTCAGTACAGCATTAAAAATACTTTGATTAGACAACAGACTGTCCTGCATAAGTGACGTTGAACACTTAAATCAAAAACTAAAAGAATCTGTGACTTTACTTTCTAAATTGATGAGATTAACATCCTTTGTTGAGTTTGAAGTGAAGAACCAAGACACTGAATTACAGGGTACATTTTAAATAAAAGCTCCCAGTGCAACTAAACTGAGCATGTGATATGCTCCTCACCACTGGAATAAACTGCAAAACAAATTAAAGATAGACACACTTGTTCTTCTGAGGGCCTTCAATGTTTTTCTTGCGGATATAGAAATATATTTAGGACTGTGTTAATTATCTATCTCAGCATGTAGTTATTGTTTTGTGTCGCCAAATTATCTTGTAATCTAAAATATTTGTTGTCATCTCTCTCTTGCAAATGAGTTCTTGATCACTTCCTGCATAAATTCTTACAACAATACAACTAATTAACTAGCTTACTTTTTATTCTGAAAAAAACAAACAAAAAAACAGGTACTGAATTATGTTTTTTTTTTCCTGAAACACATTTGGAGAACATTAATGTAAGAGTTCTTCATAAATACAAAAAACAAAACAAAAAAACATTTACATTACGAGTACTTGACTTGGGCGATAGAATTCCCCAACACACACGTACAGTGACGGCCCTTTACTGCTCTACTCTAACCTATGTGATGGCAGCTACAGAAAGTTTGCTGAGTGTTCTTGTGTTAACTTTGAATGTATGGTTGAACAGGCTAATTGAAGCCTGGTTGTTTGATGAATGAATTTCATATTGCACTTGTTTTCTGTTGTTGAGCAATTTACACTCCTATTCTCATGTTTGTCTCTTTTCTTTTGCAAGTACTACAGCACTCTATAATAATTTAATGTGAGTACTCGAATGACCTAAAATGCCCATCCCCAATTTACATAAGGTTTCAGGTTGATAGTCCTGTGTTAAAAGAGCATGCATGCAGCCGCAGTATAATTCAAATATGCTGGCGCTGCTGTTAACTGCTGCTCTCAGGGGTCTTCTTAGCTCAAAACACACACAATCATTCACCTCTAAACTTTTAGCCATATGTCTCTCCCTCACTTTCCTGTGTTTCCCTTTCCACCTGAGGAATCTCCACTATAACAGACATGGAGACAGTTAGGTCACTCACTTTTTACCACTTCACAACTGTTTTGCACTGCAGCTAACCGAGGTTTGTCTAAAGTTACCGACAATGTTCTGTTTTAGAAATCAGGCAGCCATACATCATGTGGATGTTTCTCATGTTTTTCAGCCTCCTCCCTGGTTTGACATAAGCTTTGGGGATTCACTCCCCCCACTCTGCTGGCAGGCCTAACCAGTCTCTGTATCACCACACCAGAGAGAATTTAAGAAGCTTGTATTCTCTGTGAGAGCAAATCTCCACCACAAAATCCACCTTTCCTAAATCACCAGCACAGAAAACAGGCTCATAAGTCTAAGTTTGGCAGCGGTAAATTTCAAAATGTTTCCCAACAGACACGCGTGAATCTCAACCACTGATGCCTGTGATTTCTTTTTCTGCTTCCTCTTGAGAAGCAAAGAGCTACCATGACCAGTTTTGTTTTTTATATTGCAGCCAGTTAGCACAACTTGACAGTCCTATGTCGGAAAGTAACTGATGCGACACAAACCTTTTTGACAAATGGCGAGGAGGAAAGGTTTAAAAGCGAGCCATTACACAAATATGTATATATTTCTTCACATTGATGAGGATGGCTGTCACGCCTGGCTGCCTCTTGGACATGTTCAGAGAGGGGATGTGAATAAAGAGTTGGGATGAGCCAGACAGATTTGGTAAATGCATAAAAATGAGCAGCAGCAGGAAGCAGAATCAGCTGAAGCCTCCGCTGTCTACTTTGAGAGCCAGAGATGCTCCAGCCGAAAGCGGGCTGGGGGCTGTGCGCCAACTTCTACAATCCTGTTGTTTCTGTACGCTACTTTGAGCATCTGAGGTTCTTTTTTTAGTTTAGTTTTTGTATATTAACATAGAGATTAACATGAAGAATCTTGACTTATAAAGTTTCAGGCAATATTCTGACACAGTTTTCAATAACTTGGACTTTTAGAGCCTGAATGTGTTCATTGTATTAAGGTCTACATGAAGGTAAAGCTCTGTAATAACAACCTTTAAGAAGCAGCGAGCATTGAGTTAACAGGTTTTCATTATTTTTATTTCCAACAAGGAGTGGTTCTTGAAAAGTAGCACATAAGTTTATGTTCAGGTCTGATAGTGAAGCATTCCTACGAGACTGATTTATCATCCCTACCAAAGCAAGACTCAGGGTTTCAAAGAACTCACATAATGCATTCAGCGTGGCTCCAAAACTCTTGACAGGAGAAATGTGGAAGAGAGCGAAAACTGTCTGTTTACAGTGCAACACTGCCAAGATATGGCACAGTGAGATTAAATACTAATTGGGATGTACCTACAAGTCTGTTGTACCAACTTTTGAATATTTAAAATCTAGAACAACTCCTTAAAAGCAGCTGCAGAACATCGCCTGGCCTTGCATACACAAATACGTTTTAAAAAGATCATTGAAATTCTTCCTTGCATTTTTATCTGGTTTAGCATAAATTGTGAATGCATTTGTATCTCATTTTAAGGAAGTGGAACTAATCCTCCTTCAAACACTGGATTCTGCTAAATGGCATTTTTAGCCATGCTAGAATCTGGCTCCAGGGATGCCGGTCCACCACTTAGGTCCAGACAGAATTATCTCGACAAATATTGGAGTATAATACATTAAATTAAAGACATTTATGTCCCCTTCAGGATGAATTGTAATGCTTTTGGTGTTTCAGTACCTTCTCCTGTAGTGCTGTTTTCAGGTAGTCTGGAAATCCAGACTCAAATCTAGAAAGATTTTGAGTCTGGCCCTCACGATACACCCTTCCTACCCAAGGGGCGGCTCTAACTGAGGCATATTAAATGCCACCGCACGCAATTGGATAGCACGATAGTCAATCAGAGCAAAAAACAAGGCGACGTATTCATTGCACTAAGCCCCATTTGTTTGCCGACCAGTGGGGCTAACTGATATATTATACTTTAGCCGTATCCCGTCGGCAAAACGGCAAAAAATTCTTCTGGGGCAGCCTTCTGTTCCTCTCTCAAGGAACAAGATAAGTGTAGTTGGCTTAGTGTTTCTTCCAAAGCTAAATTGACTGGACACGGTCCTTCGGCAGCTGACATCTTGGCTGTTTACTTTTCGACTCCTACGGCGCAGCGCTGTCTTCATCATGTTACACCTGCCCAGAGCCCGCCTGATTGGTCCAATAGGTGATTCAGTGGGCTCTGCTCGTCGGGGCCAGATCCCCATGCAGTGCAAATTCGAATTTGCTAGGGGCGAGGCATCTAGATTTCCAGGTTAGTTTTCAGGTACAATAGGTCTACTTCGGTTTATGACCAAACACCTGCAAAACTAATGAAATTTCCATCAGCCTTAGCTGTACTTTGTGTTTTGTGCTAGCATTAAGTTCACTAAGTTCACATTACAAGCAAACACAGCCCAAATCCAATTGTCTTTGCTCTCATGAGACACAGATGTCATCTTTCAGTGTAGTGTGGACACAGAAATCTGATTTTTTTCCAATTAGATCTGAGCCTCTTTCATTTGTGGTCCTAAATCTGATTCATATCAGATCAGTGGCCATTTGATCCCTGTGAGAACAATCATATCGCAATTTGTGTTTGTTGTTCTTATTTATCCATAGTTTTATCATCATGCTTCACTGCATAGGCGCAGATCACTCACAAGCGTCGTAGCGGTCCGCTAAAACTACCGCATTCTGCCATGACACTGCTGCAGTAGGCTGCCACAGTCGCCATGGAGCCAGACTGCCAAATGCTTTCTGATGGTGACAGCTTGCCTACATGCTGTGACAGCATGGTCATGAGGTGCTGACGGAGATATTTGTATGACAGCCTGTTATACCAAAAACCAACACCCATTGCTGTAAAGGGCCATTTCTCCAAAAATACGCTACGTACTCAGATAAGAGCACATGGCTAATTATTTTGCAGAATGACTCATTGGACCTTCCTGCTATGGTGATCATCCAGCAAATAAAGCTTGCAGTTTTTTGTTTTTGCTCCAACGCGCATGTGTGTGACATTATTTGTTGCATGTGAGACTTTTCAAGGCAGAGATCTGTTCACACTGATGTCAGATATGGGTCACTTCAAACATGAATGTAAACAGTCCAAGCCCAAAGATCGGTCTGGGAAAGAATTGAGCATTGAGCCCTGTAATGTAAACTTTAAAAAAAGAGAGATGTTTCCATTCCCACAGTTGATGCTCATGTATGTCAGTGGGAGCAGTCACATATGTGGAAGTCCTGGTGGTAAATATTTGACAGAGCTCACCGGGTTTCTGTCCACCACTTCGGTATCATTGACCACTGCTATGAGGTAGATGATAGTGAGCGCTGAATTGAGCACATAGGAGCAGAAGAGGTTCTTGTGCAGGGTGATCCTTTGGCAGCTCAAACTCCTGTGTGAAGAGAGATGCCATGATTGACTTGACATACCAGGACATGATGTGATAATGAAAAATCTCTTAAGACACACAAAACACAACCTTAAACAAGACAAAAAACTTGCCACAAGTGAAGAAGTGAACAGGATTAAAGTGAATGGCAGACTAAAAGTTTGTAAAATATCAAATTATTGGGAGCTTTCATCTCACAATTCCTTTGTGGTTGCTAAAAAAATCAATGGGATCAATGAGCTGCATTCCCTCTAAATGCTCTGTATTGTTCAGGCTAGAAGTGCTGTTAAATAATGCAAAATAGATCCTGAGGGTGGTCCTCATTACTTTGGCGGGCCACTCCAGAATTAATAACATAATGAAATGCTTGACAGGCAAAGTGAAAATAACTATTATCAAAATTGTAACAAGTCATTCATATGCAGTAGCACATTATTGTTGTTAATGGTTAAATGATGTTTTAATTCCAGGGCAGCCATCAAATGTGCCGCAGCTCACTGCAGCGTGTTTGAAGCTGAATGAAACCTTGTACCAAATATATTTTGCAGAATATAGCCTCCTATAAATGTGTCCGCGACAATTTAAGTTATATCCTTTTATTGCTCATGGCCAATTTTATCTCTGTTGAGTCATAAAAAAAAACCCCAGAGATACATGAAAAACAGGAATAGCGCTACATTTCCTCAAGCTGGGACACAATGGCACATTTTCACCGTCTTATTCAGAGGCCGTGGTTATCTCCGACAGGAAAAACAGCCTCGCTTCAGCGCCAGACATAAAAGGAAATGCAGGAGCTGCTGAATGCTTATATACCAGGGGTTTTATCTAAAAGGGGATGTCAAAACACAGGCTGAGTCCTCATGGCAGCGTCGCTCGGACTGCCCTAACGTCTTCAGGGTCGGCCTTTCAACCACATCTGTTTTTCCACAGCAAGCTGGAGTATTTTTATCTGGGAATCCTGACAGTGTTGATGTAGAGTTGTAAATAACAGAGTAGTGCAGCTGTACGCCATCTCATACCACTGTAAGCTTCACATCTGGATCTTATAATACAACAATGAGCCTCCAATAGTTAAACTGTTTTGGCTATAAATGGGGTTGGTTACAAAGAAAACAAAAAAATATCTAAGCCAATGACATTATTACTTTATTAAGATCTTAATTTGTTGGGACTTTAATCTTGATGGATTGTGTATGTCCCGCTGAGTTTCTGTGTAGCTCAGTGTGACTCTCAGTGGGTCATGGGATTTTGCAATAATATGCCTGCTCTGAACACAGCAGCTAGATTTACAAGTGTGTATAAAACTTTGCAGCAAACTGAGGGTCTCGTGCAAAATCTGCTCTGGATAACAGCTGCATTAAGGAGGTCAAAACCCTTCAGCATGTTGACTTTTACAACATTCATGAACAACAGCGCCAACAAAGACACTTTTTCAAATATTGTTTGAGAACCTGAAGTTGATTCTCTCCCCTGGGCTCTGTATTCAGGTTTATAAAACAGCACAGTCGCCAGAAGAAAACGTCGGCAGTGTATGTTTCTGCAAACCCAAATACATTCACGTTTCGTACGTAACACATCAACCATTCTAAAATGACATAGTATATGAGCTAATTTTGTCATCAGGAGGTGGATGACAAGACGCCTGCCAAGCTGCAAATCACTGTACAAGATCAACAAACAACAAAACTGATCCAGTCAGACAACTCATTTGAGATGTTTATTTCAACAGCGGAACATGGTTATAGTTTGGCCTCTAGACTCCAGCCTCATCACTCTGCGCAGATATTTTTACATATTGGCGAATGATGATTAAACACCCCCCCCTCATCCCCCCTAGCCTGCAGGTGGATGCTGGGGAGGAGGTGGGGCTGAAAGAGCAGGCAGCAATACAGATGCAGGGCAGCAGCGGCACTGACAAGGCACAGGGAGAGCTGGGAAATTCTTGCAGCTTAAACAGACCTCGAAATTGGAAGGGTGTGTTTTGTAAATGACATTTGTGAGTGAGGTATGACGTGTGTGTGTGTATGAATCAGCGCAACCCGAGCTGACTCCCTGAACTAGCTCACTCCATTTGTGTTTTAGCAAGTCATTGTTGAGTTTCCGTCATTTTTGGCTCCGAACCTGGGTCTTTTATAGCGACCAGTTGGCAGGGATATCGCCAGTATTGACAGAGACATTGCTGCGTTTCCAGCAGAGATTGTGCCCCCAAAAACCAGGTATGTTAGCCAAAATATAATCTTATTTAACCATGACCAGGTGGTATTTGTGCCTAAATTTAACCACAGGATTCAACATGTCCCTGTACATAATAACAAACAAGTGAGACATATCCAAGGTTTGCAGAAACCTTATTGTGTAATGCTGATCAAGTTCATCCCTTCCTAAAAAAACTATAAAGTTCAAACAATGTGCACACTGCCAACTTTTTCTCACGCTTCTTCACTTCTAAATTTCACGCCGAATATTATACCTATCTTCCCTTTATCCACTTCATTATTCTAAACTCTTATCTAGTTGAATTTCAGCAGCAGCATCTCCTTTAATTGTGCACCTCTTCCCTCTGGGATTAAGCAGTTCATGGGGATGAACAGCCTTAATGAGCAGTGCGCTCAGGTGCACGTGCTTCTAATAAGAGCACAGCGCCTATGCATTCAATGGACGTCACAGCTCTCCACTTTTGAATCCTAAATATCCGTGGAATAAATGTGCAGCACAAAGAAGCCAAGTTGGCATGAAATTAGCGACGGTTGTGTGTAAATTACACTCTGTGAAGCAGCAGAAATATTTTAAGCTCGATGGTTTGCCTTCATTTGTGACAGCAGCTAAGATAGTAATAATTTTCTGATTACTGCCTTAAGTTTTAATTTAACACTGTGCCAATGTTTACACCAAGTGAGTTTTTCCAAACACTTAGATAATGTGACTTTCCCCAGAGCAGTGAATAAACAATCAGTCTTTCTGATTGTATTTAAATGTGACACGACCACTTATTTACACTGTAAAATCTTTTGTGTGGCTCTGGTGTTAAAAAGCTGCAAAATTCACTCTGCTGCGGACAGAATGGAGATATCACTGACTGCAAATAAGACCAAGACCAAGCTACTGCCCATGATGAGTAATGAAATGGTTGGAGGAGACTGTAGTGAGCACTCAACACCATCTGTGTGTCTGTCAGATCCACTGATAATAGCAATAACATGTCTGAGCCTTTAAGGGCAAAGCTGCCATTTACTCATCGTCGATTACTCATCAAGTGTATCAGCTTCATCTCATTACAGCCATCCTAAACATTCACTCAAATTACAAAGCAGTGTTTAAGTCAAGACTACCAAAACCGAGACCAAGTCATGACCAAGACCAGACCGGTGTCAGTCCCACACTGCATGACATGTAACATGTAAACCATAGGCACTCTTCAAATTGATCTGAAAGATCCACATTCCTATTAAAACACCAACAGAAACCAATGAAGATTCATCTTCATTCACCTCTTTGCATGCATATGTTTAAGTGTACCATGAGAAATGTCTTGATAAAATAATAAAAGGGCATTGCAGAGGTGAATTTTATGTGTGGGAATTTCCTTTTAATTTTCTATGACGAACAGTGTGTAGATGGAATCAGCTTCTTTATTCAACACTATTTTTTGCACAGGCAGTTTCATGGTGTCCCTGAAGCTGTGGTCTTGACCTGTCTTTGTCTAAGACTGAGACAACGCCAAGTAAAAACAACCATCAACAAGTGGTCTTGAGACCTGTCTCAAGTACTACAACATTGATACAATCTCCAATATCAAACCAGTGCAATTGCAGCTAAATAGTTCTTGATTTATTACCTGAAGTAGAAGAAGATGGCCAAAGAGATGAGCAGGGAGGCTATGGATAGAGCATGACCCACAATTGCCATGTAAAACAGGATGTACGCTGACTGTTAATAACAAAAAGAGAAGGAAAAAAGATAGAGAAAACATGTGTAACATTACCACTTATAAATCTGATTGTCTTTGACATGTCACATGTTGTTTTCTGTGAGAATTCTGTGCGTAGAAACATACAAATCAAGGCCCTCAATAGTTTGCATTTTCACACAAAATTCAAGGTGTGACACTTGGCACTAAATAAAGTGGCATTAATATTAAATTTTACATTTTACTGTGGACACAACTCTTAATAGGGAAAAACAGACATTAATATCTGATGATCTGCTGCTGGGGACAGTGAGATAAGATTGTAAAGACTCAGGATTGACAGATTTAGAGAAATTTGGTAGACACTTGCAAAGGATAGAACTACACCACTATTTGTACACCCCTGTTGATCTAAATGTTAAAGATTTACCATTTAAATTTAAATTTAACATTTCGATTAAGATTTAACATTTAAATTTAAGATTTAGATTTAACATTAAGATTTTGATTTAACATTTAAATTTAAGATTTAGATTTAACATTTAGATTTAGATTTAACTTTTAGATTTAAGATTTAGATTTAACATTTAACTTTTAGATTTAAGATTTAGATTTAACATTTAACTTTTAGATTTAAGATTTAGATTTAACATTTAATATTTAGATTTAACATTTAAATTTAACATTTAATATTTAGATTTAGATGTAACATTTAGATTTAACATTTAACATTTAGATTTAGATTTAGATTTTACATTTAGATTTAACTGTGACATTATATTTAACATATTTCCAATACTGCTGTAAATGTGGTAAAAAGTGACTTTAAAATAATTCACATCACTTTTTTTAACGTTTGAAGCTAAATGTGGCAAAATGTTACTGTTAATTTCAGTGAGAGCCACTTTACAAACTGCACCTCATACCCATCAGCCTTATTTTTATGGTGCACATTTATATGTGCAAGGACCTCTCCTGGTTGTGGTGATTCACAACTTTGAAGATCCTGTTTTGTTGACTGTTTAGAGAGTCACTGACTGCCTAACTGACTGGCAGGGGGTGGAGGTGATCAACAAAATTACATAGCAAATGATATTTTCCAAAATAGGCTTGGCTCGAAACAGCAAGCCTCATCTGGTCTGTTGCAGGACACATTTTAGCCTTCGTGGCTCATAAACTGACATCCATAGAAAAGTTTGGTTTCATTTTGAAGCGGAGCATCTGCAGATTAATTCTACACCTGGTTTACTATAATCCACTAAAGTTAGGCACAATACAAGATGAATGAATCCCTGTTTTTGTTATCTGTGCTACCACCTTGACAGTAACAGAGGCAGAAGGGACAATTGAGTGAGATTAAATGTTGTTTGGGAGAGATTTTATTGGACACTGCATTCAAGGTTTGTCTCCATATAGCCCATCTATGCTAGCTACACCATGATAATGTAACATGCATATTGTCTCCCCTTCATTCCACTACTGTAATGCTGACATGCTGGACACAAAGGCAGCCCTGCACCCCCTGTTCCCCACCCACATGACCCAGACACACCTGGTGGAGATCTGCTCTCTACTGAGTGCACTTTCTTAGTTTCTCTTTGAGATCATACTGCTGTGGCTGTTTGTTCTAAGAACTTTCCTGAAGCTGGGGAGGCTGAGTCAGCAAAGATCAGGTTTCTGTGGTAACAGATGGAGCGGCTGATCTCTGGTTTTGATTGATCAGCAGACTTTTTGAGTCTTTCTCCCGGGTTTGCCAGGACAGCTGCGTAGTACACCAACTGGAGACTCGACAGAGTTTCTTGCAGAGGTTTTGTTTACAAGTCGCTGTTATTTGCAACTGACCGTTTTCTCTGTTCCAGACGGGAGAGCATAATAGAGTTGTTGTTTTTTTTTAATTTCCTTGGATACTTGTCAGATAATCTCCAGCATAAAAAATGGATAAGTTTACAAAAGAAAAGCCAGAAAATTTAAACTTATGAAAATGTCTTAGAAGGCACTTTTGGCTTGGATTTGGCATGAAGAGAAATTTGGCACAATATACTTTCATATAATCAACCAATTACTGAATGAATACAATCTGCGAACAAGTGTTTAACGCCTAAAAGTCATGTGCATGAATGTTTAAAGTTCACGAGTGTGTCTCTGATGTCCCATCTGGCAAAATACTGGGAAGAGCTCTGGGTTGGACCAGTCTGGTCTCCATGTGGGAAACATTGTTAGTGGCAGTCTGGTGCTTTTGGTGATAAGCAGGTTTCTAATATGTGATGGTGTCAACACCAGACTATTTGCAGGGAGGCTCCTCTGCCAGGCCTTTGTTTTATAACAACTGTATAGCCTCAGGGACAGACGGCATGCACGTGACTTTCCATCTCTAAATATTTCTGTGGAACTCACTGTAGGAGAGTAATGTGTTTTGGGAACAAAACTCCTGTTAATATTGGTGTCTGGTACAATATTTATGAGCAACTACATCAGAATACGTATTTCAAGTTTCCACATTTACGGCCTATCTGCCTACTCTCCAAATACCAGAGGACTCCATGCAAGAAAAAGAAAGATTACGCTGAGTCATCACACTGTGACCACAATGCAGGCGATCTATGATAGCAGGCTGCTTTATTTTAAATAAATTACCTTTAACTTTGCCTCTGTGTTTTCAATACAGAGTGTGTAGTTGGACCAAGTCCTGTTGGTATCCGGGTGGCGAAACCACTGCCCGTCCTCCCCACAGTACTTAGTGGCCTTTTCTGAAAGTAACAATTAAATAATGCATGCATATTCTCCAAATGTCTTCACGTTCATAGAGTTGTGTCCATATATTCAGGTTCTGTTAGCCTCAATAATTCATCCTCATAGCAATTAATATTTTATAGTTCTTGGAAAACAGTCAACAGAGTGTCAGAGGAGCAAAACTCTTGAGTCCTGCTTCTCACCTGTCGGGTCAAAGTCAGCAAAATAATTAGGGCAGTTTTGAGAGGTGTAAGTTCCTGCTGGAGTGTCATCCCAGCACAGCCAGCCATCCCAGTTTCGACTGCAGTGGAGCCCTGCGACACAGACACGCGGCAACAGAGAGAGTTTAAACATCTGGAGAGGAGAAGTGCAAAAACTAAAAAAAATCACAGTGAGCCCCAGAAGAATTTCATCTCTACCTGATTTGTTATACGGTAAATCTCGATTCATCTTCTCGAAGCATTTGTACTGGCTGTCAAGGATTTTCTTATTCACAATTTCCTGTTCCTCTGGGTTAACCATGGGGCTGACTGTGGCCTCATCAGCAGACTCCACTATAGCGTCCCCTGAGAACTGGGCGGCTGCCTTCATTTTAGTCAAACACAAATACACACACACATACTCAGAGTCACAATCAATCACAGAATTAGCAGTGAGGCTATGGAGAGTATAGCAAGACATGCAGCTGAAGACATTTTTACTTTTTAGTATCCTTATCTCTTTTGTTAACAGTGAAAGAACAAAGGAAAGAAAGAAACTATGTGTGTGCTATTTTCTGCATTTTTATAGCAGCCCAGCAAATTATATTACACTGAAATTGGCCATTTTGCTTCTCTATTGCTGTGTCATTACAGGAGCTGTATGTATCCTGAGTAGATAAAGAAGTCATCCCCGTCTGTGTGTGTTGTAATCTGAGCTTCTCTGTCCATTCATGTAGCAGCTACCACTGATATCAGGACAGCGTTGTCGCGAAAGTGTAACGCCCACCCTCTAGTTTCACCCCAGGTAAAATGTTAGCTCTGTCAGCACTGTAGTCGTTGTTAGCACTGTTTATTAAGACCAATTCCCCTGGAAAGAGTGAAGGCTTTGAAGCCAGTTTTCATAGTGGCCAAACAGTGTAATTACATCCATCAAGTATTCACTCCCTTACATTTACATGGCCAAAGGGGACGTCACTTGATCATTTTTTGAGGCTCAGTAAAATGACTTGTTTCACTCTGTCCAATAACATTTAGAAAGTCTATAACAGCTGTATGATTAATTAAAGTAAATGGAGCACTTAACCGGAAGTAGCTGGCTCGGCTGGAGGAGGTCTCTAGCGTGCCTGCTTTATGATCCACACAGTGTTGAAGCAGTGCAGATCATCCTGGTAATTTTATACGAGGCAGGTGAACTTTTTGGGTTTCATGAGCCACTGAACAACTTTCATAGGAATGAACAGGGCCTGCCTTCAACACTGTAGTTGTCTTTATCCATCCATGGTTAGCACCATTAGCCCGGCCCCTTTTTAAATAGGAATTGTGCAAATTTGCAGGAAAGCCCATTCAGTCTTCTTTCAGCATTGACAGTATAAAAGCAAAAACGGGGAGTGCAGCGAAATGCCGCCTACCTACTTTTGTTTTTACAGAATGCGCCTTTTTCTGGGCAATGGGGGGCGTGAGCAAGTAACAAAACATGTATGTGACGTAAACAGTGGCGCGGGAGGGAAGCCGCGGCTGGTCAGTCCTTTGGCGATTCTCTCATAAGCTGGCCTGTTCTTCACTGTTCCCATCACTTGACGGTTAATGGCCTCTTCATTTGTGAGGACAAGGAGGGCACGCAATTCCTTGTCTCCCCAGTTGCTCATCTTTACAGTGTCTGTCAGGTTTGCATTTCCCTCTTGCTACTAGCTGCTCATTCCTGCTATCAGCTGTTTCCTGTTTATCCACCGCCAGTGGCTCACACGTGTGGCGTAATCAACAGCTCCTCCCACAAGTCATCAACAGCCCCTCCCGTGGCGGAAGGCCGCCTTGTTCTTTTTAAACCAGAAAGGTTCCGCCAATATGTCTACCCTACCAGACGGAAAATTGGGCACCTCGGATCAACTTGCCAATCCAGCTCTGTGTGTCTAAACGCTCGCAGCTTGCCGGCAAAACAACCAAACATTCACCAAAAATCTGGCAGTGTAAAAGAGGCTATTAACATCAATGGCCAGCTGCCAGCTCAGCCAACTTCCTGTTGAGAACCGTATGCAGACTATCCTGCCCTAGACTCTGAATCATAGATGTGCTCTGAATGTCGCATACATTTAATGAACTCACCCTTTTTAAAATCGCAGTAAGTCTAACTGACAGTGACAGTATAAATCAAAATTATTTTTCCTACCAAAAAAAAGCATTTTTTCAACTATATGCACATCTTCCTGGATTTCTAAATCAATCCTGCAGAATAGCAGCAGTATTGCTAAATTTAATTACCAGAAATGTCTATGCATAATCTGTACAATAACTCTTGAGATGCACAGTATGTCAGGATGAATTACCTTCAGCCTCTGCTTTGTGTTGACAGCACAGAGTGTATAATTGGTCCAAGTCTTATTGCTCTCTGGATGCTGAAACCACTGCCCATCTTCTCCACAGTACTTAGTTGCCTTCTCTAAAAAAGAGCAATTATGTGATAAATATACTGTATGTTTTCCACTGCTCTATAAATCTGTGCAGTTGTGTTCATAAACCTTGTTCCCATTAGATTCAATAACTAATCCTCAGAGCAACTTTATAGTCCATCTTCTTTAAATACAGGACAGTGAGGTCAGAGGAGGTTAACGCAATATCAGCAGACCCATAAAACCACAAATTTCTTAAGGCACACTGCTCACCTGTCGGGTCAAAGTCAAAAAAATAATCCGGGCAGTTTTGGGAGGCGTAGGTTCCCGCTGGAGTGTCATCCCAGCACAGCCAGCCATCCCAGTTACGACTGCAGTGGAGCCCTGCAGCGTCAACAAGGCCACAAAAACATGATGACACACGGTTACAGGCCTTTTAGACGTACCAACATGAGACAGGCAGAGTTACACGGCAAGTTTCATGTACCTGATCTGTTAAAAGGTGGGTCTCGATTTATCCTCAGGAGGCATTTGTATTTATTCTCAAGCATTTTCAGTTTCTGCAATTAAAAAAAAAAATCAACATTGCATAATATTATTTAGACAATTAAGAGAAATAACAAGCCAAAGCTCTGGGTCAAACTGTCCGGGAAAATTAAACTACACTAATTGTTTAGATGAGGGCAAACAGAGGGCTACGGTTTCACTATAATCCAATAAAATCTCAGCAGGGAGGAGTGGTGTTAGATGACTGTAGAATTTAATTATTAGGGAATATTAATTGAGGAAAAAAGTGCAGTGCTACCTTAATTAGTGTGAGGAGAATCAAAGGCACAAGTAACTGTTCGCATTGTCTTTCCATAACAAACCATATCCGTTAATTTGAAACAGTTTTGGAAGGCACTCGCAGACAGTGCCATAGTGATGACAGGTTTGCCAAATCAGGAAACACTCATATACTGTACTGTTGTAGTTACTGTAGTAAAAAGCAGTTATAAACAACCTATTTTCTTGTTTAGATTGGAGGACTGGGAGACTCGAGTCACGACTTGAGCTCCAAATTTGAGGACTTGAGACTTGATTTAGACTTGAGACAGATTATTTGAAAAGAACTTGCTTTTTAATATATATTTGCTTTTTTCTAGGCATTTTCGAGTAAGTTACATTCTGTTTTTGAAACATGATAGGGTGATTTATAATGCCATGTGCGCAAATCTGGCACTAGGATGCCGCAGGCCAACAGATGCCAATGCACGAGGCAGCTATCACATAGGGGGACGACTGTAGTCCAAAAACAAGAACAACTGAGTTCAAGGATGATGTGGTCGATGATGATGAATCAGTGACACAACCAGCACAACATCCAACTTCATCTGTCACTACAAATTCTCAAAGAAAGGCGCAGGAATGTGTCCTATTACTGATCCCTCACCTGCCTCCCACCCAAGCTGGGAGCACCACTAGTCTTTGCAGCAGACATGTTGTTCTTGTTGTTATTGTCTCGATCAGAGTGTTACTCACTTTAGGAACATCCTTCAGTTCAGTCTAAATTGATGCCCTTTTGTATCCTAACGCTGCTTTACCAACTGTTATAATGGATCCAGAGGTGCTGCTCCCATATGTGCCTATTATGGTTTATCTCTGCGTAATACAAACCTTTACACAACCCTGGCTGACCCTCTGAGATCCCACTCTTATTAATGATGCTGTATATGTTCTCAGTAGTGGAAACTACATACTAAGGGGGGACCATATGTCCTGAACTTGCAAGCCGACCCAGCAGTACTAAACCTGTATGCTTTGTTTGATCATGCAGGATGGATAGTTTATGTCGACAGCAACACATTACCCTCAGTCTCTTCTCATAGGATGCTGTGCAGAGTGTGTAATTGGTCCAAATCCTTTTGGACTCTGGATGGTGAAACCACGTACCATCCTCTCCACAGTACTTAGTTGCCTTTTCTGGAAAGAAGCAATGATGTGATGATTAAGTCAAATTTCTTTAAATACAGTCAACAGAGGATTAAAGGTGAATCTATCATGTGAGGGTAAGAAGATATCAGCAGAGCAGCAACTCCCTAAAGCCTTGTTCACATTACATGATTTTCACCGCGATTTTGACATCGCAGAGGATCTTGAGAGCCACCTTGGGTCGGAGGTGAGTCGGCAGATAGTCTGCCACGACAAGTCCTCGTATGTGAACAAGCCTACGAGTAAGTCGCCCCCCGTCTGTGACTGGGACTGGATATCTGGCATGCTAGAAAACTGGAGAAGTCTGACACGACTGATGAAGAGCATCAGCCAATGAGAGGCGGGATACGTCCCACGTCAGCACGCAGGAGGACGGAAGAAATGTGAGGATGACAAGCCTCAGGGTTGCCACCTGCCAGATCCACTGATTAGCCACGACTTTGTGCTTGTTTCTAAAGTGGAGTTGCTTATTTGGGCTTGCTCTCTAAATGCCACCTTCCTCTATATATCCGTCTATTAAGTTATTTAAATGCATGATAGTCGCTTCTTTTGGGCTTGTTTCCATAGCCCTGGTTCCTTGTTTCTCTCCCAAGATCTGCCAACACTGACAAGCCGGCAAGTAACAACAACAATGGCGGCAATCACAGGATCACGGGGAGCGCGTCGTGTTTGGACCCAGGCCCTGGAGGCAGATCTGATTCAACACTGGGAAAAATATCCATGCCTTTACGATGTGTCGTCTCCAAGTTTGGTGACGTCACCGCGTTATCTGGGGCTCTGTCTGCGAGGGTTTGGTGGAGAAATCTTGTGGTGTGCACACACAGGTTGTAACGCAGTTGGCGAGACTGACAGAAACACACGTCACCAGGTATGAACACTCAAAAGATTACGATAGTCTCTGCGACACAAAATCAGGGTGAAAATCTTGTAATGTGAACTAGACTTAAGGGAGCGATCACACCAAGATGAAACGCTAGAAACGCGACACCAGTAAAACCATTGTTTTCCTATGATACAGCGCGTCTGACCGGCGTTCAAGCGTCTTTTTAGACAGGCGTTTTTCCGGCGTCTTTTTAGGCGTGCGTTTTTCTAGACGCTTCTTTTTAGACGCTTCTTTATAGATGCGCGTAGACGCTGAAAAGTTAAAATATTTTCAACTTTTTTGAGCATCAGACGCCGGTCGCTATCGTGCAAATGCTTCCAGCATTTCAAGCATCTTTGAACCATCCGCGTCTCTAGCGTCTCATTTCTGTGTGACCACCTCCTTAGTCTCTCTGCTCACCTGTGGGGTCAAAGTTGCTAAAATAAGTGGGGCAGTTTTGAGAGGCGTAGGTTCCTGCTGGAGTATCATCCCAGCACAGCCAGCCATCCCAGTTACGACTGCAGTACAGCCCTGTAACACCAAAAACAGGGATGTTTCAAATGACTAATATCTCTTATGTTTGAATGGAAGTTTTAACTTGGACTAATCGAAAACAGAAAGACTCAAAAAAACAGTCACAGCTGAGCACAGTTTAATTTTTACAGAGAAACATTGTGTATTAGAGCCTTTTGAACTCGTTAATCACATTTTTATTAACCAAATTGTATTTTAAATGTGTGTATAAAACATGACACCAACTTAATTATGTTAGGCACGTGGATTTACTGTAGTCTACAGTGGACTTTGAATTTTATTTTTATTTACTGTGTCTACTTGTTATGTGTAGGACTACAGATGGAAATTAGGGTTTCACTAAATCTGGTGCAACCAGGTTTTCACTTCTTGTAAATGATTAATGTAATTGCACACTGACCTCTTATAAATCAAATAAACTAAATAAAACTAAGTTTATTTCATAAACTAAATGCATGAAATAATAACAACATTAATGATAAGTTTAACTGGCTGGTGTTTCTGGTGTTGACTAACGAGGGTATCACACACACCCCTACCAACAATCACAAAAAAACACAAAGAAATGTTTGCAGGTTTGTTCATGAGTTTGTCCAACATGAAACCTCATCATGTAAAAATCATGTTGACACATAATATAATAATTTGTCACTAGACCAGAGTCACTCATGAGCACTACCTGAATTGTTATAAGGTGGATCTTGCGTCATTTTCTCTGAGCATTTCTTTCTGTTCTCGAGGATCATTATTTCCACAACACCATCTTTTTCTGTGTCAACTCCTACAGCCTCTGTGGTCGGCTCTCCAGCAACATCCTTTAAAAAATGAGTGACTTCCCTCTGAGAAAAAAAAAAACAGAGAGCTTAGCATGAACAGGTGCATCTGTCTCATCTGATTCTTCTGTAACTTACAGCAAAACAGCCAATAACCAAATACCTCTGAGTTGTCCTTTAAAGCTGGGTGACATGTGGACCCAGTGTGCACCCAGTTACCGAATTCGGCACAGTATTTGGTCACTTTTTCTGTAAAGAAAAAAAAACCACAATGGCATCAAAAAACATAATAATCCATCAATGATTACTGCTAGGCACATTATTGCTTCTGTTGGTGGTTCATGTCCAGTAGAGAATCTCTATGTCCTCAGCTCTGTCTTTGTTTTTCAGCAGTAGTATGTTGGCATCATCCAAACACATAAATTGGACCCTGAATCTTGGCTTTACTGAAAGACTGCAAATAATTCAACTTGGCACACATCATCAAACGTTATGTCAAACATAAAATTCCATCTTTGGAGACATTTTCTGGCAAATTCTCAAATGTCAGGCTTAAAAACCACATGTACTGTAGCTCCACGACTGGGCCGAGAATGAGATCCAACAGTCCTGACAACAACAACCGTAGCCCGACTGCTTATTCTTCGCCGACAGCTCATCAACTGTTCAGCATCCACTTCCAACTGTACGTCTCCCCCTGAAGCCTCATATGAGCAGCATCGGCTTTCAGATAAGGAGCCATAGGGGGACTCTTAATGTCACAGGCATTTTCGGAGGATCTTTTATGAGCCCTCTCTTATAAAAACACCTTCTTTTTCTTCTCATTCATATTCTCTCTCCCCATCCATCTCTCTGCCTCAGACTTCTCTATCTTTTTTGTCATCTCTTTTTTCCTTACTTCTCTTTCTCTCTCTCTCTCTCTCTCTCTCTCTCTCTATATATATATATATATATATATATATATACCCCTTCCATCCTCTCTCTGTCCTCCCCTTCACCTCCCTTCCATCATATTGCATCTCCTAAATCAGTCAAAATCAGTCATGACTTGCCTCTGGATCTCTCCAACTAGACATTATTGAGTCATGCATTCATCACAATGTAAAAACTGCTCATACTGTAAGGTACCGCAATCCCAACATTAATGCGCACACATAATCAATTTCTACGGTCAATTTCAATTCAAATAAATGTCAGTTTTTGTTCCGACTGATTGATAAAAACAAAATAGGCTAATACTTCACCTTCTATTCAGTTTAAAATTCTCTTACACTAGTTGTCCTTTAAACCTGCAGTGCATACAGATGCATGAGAAGACAAGGGGTCTACAGCCATGCTAGCAGCTCTGTAAAGCTATACTTAGAGTCACAGCGGTGCTTTGAGCTAAATCCTGAAACAGGCTTGCCAAAATGCTCACAGAGACAGTGCTAACATACTGGTGTTACAGATTATCTTAGTTTAGCATATTAAGCACTCAACAGGAAGTACAGCTGAGGCTGATGGGGATGTTTCCACCAATAAATCAGCAGTAAATCTAATTTCAGATATTTCCCTCAAAGACAAACCAATGACACCAAAGGTTGCATGACAAAATTTGGTGCCAATCTATCCAGTAGACGGCCTCTGTGGTAATTCCAGCCCCACTGTTGCAACTGGTTAAAATTATTGCCCAGTTATGAGTTGATACCTGTACAAGCTCAAAACTCTGAGCATAGCGTAATAATCAACTAACTTTACCCTCGAAAAATCTAGTGGAAATATCTAGCAAAACTGAATGGAAACACTTGAAATACAAATTAAAATCCTCCAAGCTTCCCAAAGCCCCATGCTGGCAGTGGCCCTTCATTTATGCAATTAGCCCCATGACCTTTGATCTCGATCGCACACAGAAGATTGGATCGTTTTCTGTGTCGCCTGCTGAACTGGAACTAAAAAGTCTAGGGAGCTTGTTGTTGTGTATTGGCATGAGAAGTGCACATCTTTCTTACCAGTTGGGTCCAGGTCAGGGTGATCTGGACAGTTTCGTGTGACAGACGTCCCAGCTGGTGTCTCATCCCAGCAAAAAAAGCCGTCCCACATGGGTCGACAGAACGTTCCTCGAGACAGGAAGAAGGAAAAAAGTGTAATGACTATTCTGAGTTATTACCAACACACATTTTCTTTGTCTTCACTCATATTTAGTGTGCGTCAGAGTAACATAATTTCTCTAGAGCTACAGCCTACACTGCAAAGCACTCAGCTGAACCCCTGCTGGCAGCACTACCATTACCTTAAACAAGAATAACAATTGTGTTCAGCTCCTAATCCACTGCCTTACAGCGTCATAACACCTGTGGTGCTCTTGCAATGGTAATCGCTTTGGCCTTGAAATGATTTGGGCATCTCACCGGTTCTGTTTTCTTGGTGGTCTTTCTTGGACAGCTCAAGACATTTGTACTGACCCTGGCTCAGTGCCTGGCCCTGTTCATCAGTCATGCTATGTCCAGGCCTGAGTGATGGATCTGAGATTGACTCAGCGCCTCCTGCTGTCCTGCGCTGTGGAGACAATACGACACAAGAGGTGAGAGGAAGGGAAAGAAAACATGTTGTATGGTGACTCGGAGCATGGTAAGAAGCGTAGGTGGGGAGCTGTTGGTGTGTTTCATAGTTGCTGCTCTGATCTGCGTTAATTTCATGGTGAAAACATAAATATTATCTTGCATGATGCTGTTAGTTGAATTTGTAATACTTGACAGTTTTATCACACTCAGACAAAGACATGCACGCTTATATAAGATAAAAAAATTGAAACAGAAGCGTAGGCATGCAAAATTTTTGAAGCGTCGTCGAAGCCGATCTGATGAGGATTTCACTCTACTTTGAAATTCCAGTCACTCCCCATTCATGTAACTCATTAAAGTGTGTTTGGGAGCTCACAAAAGAAGTTAAGCAGCTGATTTTCTCCAAATGAATCTTATCTGCTCTCTATTGTTTGTATTTGGAGGTAGCATTAAAAATGAAGAGGCCTGGAGTGTGAAATGCTGATTTTGATAATGCTGCTCACTGAAGGATAAAGAGCCCATCTTAATGTGACTTATCTGGCAAATTTTGGGGGGCTGAAAATTAAGCCTCTCAGAGAGCCAGGCTCATGCGCTTGCATTTTCTGAATTATTTAAGGAAATTTAATACTTTGCCTGGCAGATTGTCTCCACAGGCCTTATCACAATTGAGACGCAAACCTTCTACATCTGTGTCTTTGTGGAGGCTAAAGGAATTCCTATTAAACCAAAATCTTACCTGTCTGATAACTCCTGTAAAAGGCAAAACACTTTAGGAAAACACACAGTGACTTTGTGAGAATGCTGATGTCCCATGTAGCAGTTTAGCAGCCGTACATATGATGTCACTCCAAACATTGAAGTAAATGACGTCATACATACGACCACCAGGCCACCACCAATATCAACAGATGAGCTGAACAGGAAGAAAAGAAAATTTAGACACCTCCCCTTGCCTTTTTACAATTCATTCATCTTCCTGAATCAACATGACAAGGGCACTCAAGAAAGAAAGTACAGACACATAAAGCAGGACAGCACAGATACTTCAGGCAGAAAACGTTTGGCAGGGATACTATTCTGGACCTCAATGTCAAACTTGATGCCGAACAGCAAAGGAAATTGAAACTTCCATTTCACACTGACACTGAAGAATAGTGGACTGAGTGGTTTTTTTTTCATAAGGAACAATGACTCAAGAAAACCTCTATTTTTCTGCAGTAAAAGCTTTAAAAAAAAAGTCCCAAAGTGAGCATGTTCTGGACGACAGATGCCGATGTCTCTTAAGCCTGTCTGGAACAAGATGAATAACATCTCTGAGCTGTCCAAAATTTATAGCAAAGGTGTTGAAAATGCCATTTATTACAAAACACTCTTCAAGCCAACTGGTTTACTGTGATTTCTAAGGACAGTTGCAAGTCCATCAAAAGAACATTCTAAAGTTTGATTTGTTTAATTATAACCCCCTTCACCAGGCAAAACAGTATGTTTTTAAATAACAATGCCAAAATGTGAGGATTCACATCTTTGACTGATGATTGGGAAAAACCCCATTAAATTAATTGATATAATTTCTCAAATACTGGAGCACGCTATGACTATGACTCAACCCTTCAAGCTCAGATTAAGACTTCACATTTGGCAAGCACAAACCAAAAAACACCCACTCAAACCCCCAACAGCCTCGCAATAAATTCAGGATATACAGACAACCATATATAGAGTTGCTAAATATACCGTATGTGTCTGATCGTTGCATAATGTTGCAGGAATGAGTAGAACTGTTGTTTTAAGTTATGCACAGGACATAACAAATACCTGTACAGCCTGATGTGGATCAGACTTTAGATTCGAAGGCTACAGATGAACACTTGTGGTGTTTAAGTTCTGACTGCTCCAAGTACTGAAGAATGTACAGTACAGGCCAAAATTTTGGACTCACCTTCTCATTCAATGCGTTTTCTTTATTTTCATGACTATTTACATTGTAGATTCTCACTGAAGGCATCAAAACTATGAATGAACACATGTGGAGTTATGTACTTAACAAAAAAAGGTGAAATAACTGAAAACATGTTTTATATTCTAGTTTCTTCAAAATAGCCACCCTTTGCTCTGATTACTGCTTTGCACACTCTTGGCATTCTCTCCATGAGCTTCAAGAGGTAGTCACCTGAAATGGTTTTCCAACAGTCTTGAAGGAGTTCCCAGAGGTGTTTAGCACTTGTTGGCCCCTTTGCCTTCACTCTGCGGTCCAGCTCACCCCAAACCATCTCGATTGGGTTCAGGTCCGGTGACTGTGGAGGCCAGGTCATCTGCCGCAGCACTCCATCACTCTCCTTCTTGGTCAAATAGCCCTTACACAGCCTGGAGGTGTGTTTGGGGTCATTGTCCTGTTGAAAAATAAATGATCGTCCAACTAAACGCAAACCGGATGGGATGGCATGTCGCTGCAGGATGCTGTGGTAGCCATGCTGGTTCAGTGTGCCTTCAATTTTGAATAAATCCCCAACAGTGTCACCAGCAAAACACCCCCACACCATCACACCTCCTCCTCCATGCTTCACAGTGGGAACCAGGCATGTGGAATCCATCCGTTCACCTTTTCTGCGTCTCACAAAGACACGGCGGTTGGAACCAAAGATCTCAAATTTGGACTCATCAGACCAAAGCACAGATTTCCACTGGTCTAATGTCCATTCCTTGTGTTTCTTGGCCCAAACAAATCTCTTCTGCTTGTTGCCTCTCCTTAGCAGTGGTTTCCTAGCAGCTATTTGACCATGAAGGCCTGATTGGCGCAGTCTCCTCTTAACAGTTGTTCTAGAGATGGGTCTGCTGCTAGAACTCTGTGTGGCATTCATCTGGTCTCTGATCTGAGCTGCTGTTAACTTGCTATTTCTGAGGCTGGTGACTCGGATGAACTTATCCTCAGAAGCAGAGGTGACTCTTGGTCTTCCTTTGCTGGGTCGGTCCTCATGTGTGCCAGTTTCTTTGTAGCGCTTGATGGTTTTTGCGACTCCACTTGGGGACACATTTAAAGTTTTTGCAATTTTCTGGACTGACTGACCTTCATTTCTTAAAGTAATGATGGCCACTCGTTTTTCTTTAGTTAGCTGATTGGTTCTTGCCATAATATGAATTTTAACAGTTGTCCAATAGGGCTGTCGGCTGTGTATTAACCTGACTTCTGCACAACACAACTGATGGTCCCAACCCCATTGATAAAGCAAGAAATTCCACTAATTAACCCTGATAAGGCACACCTGTGAAGTGGAAACCATTTCAGGTGACTACCTCTTGAAGCTCATGGAGAGAATGCCAAGAGTGTGCAAAGCAGTAATCAGAGCAAAGGGTGGCTATTTTGAAGAAACTAGAATATAAAACATGTTTTCAGTTATTTCACCTTTTTTTGTTAAGTACATAACTCCACATGTGTTCATTCATAGTTTTGATGCCTTCAGTGAGAATCTACAATGTAAATAGTCATGAAAATAAAGAAAACGCATTGAATGAGAAGTTGTGTTCAAACTTTTGGCCTGTACTGTATGTCACATGACTTACATTACATTTTTGACAAACGTACTTATTTTAAGCCTTTTCTAAACCTATGCGGTGTCTCAAATCGCGTACTTCTGTACTTACACTTAATATTTTGAGTGCATGAGTGCCTTCACACTGGGAAGTATGAAAAAATGCAGTGCACTATGAGTACCCGCATCGTGCACTCAAAATGGTCAAGAAGTTGAGTGTGGAACTATGGACACTTCTCGCCCTCAATGCTCGCCATCTTGGCTACATAGCGGAAGAGGAGGGACCACTTTTCAAACTGGAAATAGCAGCCTAGGACTGTGCGACCATTACCGTCGCTGCATTGTACAAATACATGTGTTTTTTTGCACTAAGCACCACTATAACGGTGTTGGATATAAGCCAGCAGTATGTTAACTGGGTTAATTTAGCAGTCTGTAATAATTTGGTACCACGAACGATAACGTGAATGCTAATGCTAGTTTGCTAACTAGCTAATTTGTGGTTGTCATTTCCAGTGAGTGCACAATGGCAGTGTTTGTTTTGAGACAACACTACCCTGTTGAAATTTGCGCACTACGCCAATGAGTACATAGTGCACATAGTATACTACATGAAGTGTACTGACGCAAGTACACGATTTGAGACACACCACAAGACACACGTGTTTTTGTTGACTAAACCTGAAGTAAATCTGAAAATGAAGTTTTATACCTATGTTTTCAGTTTGTTTTGAGAAGACAATGTTTACATTTAACAAAGCAGAAACTGTGCATTTCCAGTAACAACGTAAGTTTATTTTGAAAAGACACAGTGTTGACCTGCAATCTCTGAGCATCCAAAACCGATGCAGGAAGGATACCTTGACATGTGGGGCCACTGACCAAGGGTCTGTATTTGACAAGTTTGGAGTCAGGACGTATTTGAATTGTATGCGTTGCACTTCTTTCTTTCATTCTGGAGCCTTTTTTTGTGATCACATTTTTATTTAGTTTCTCTGCAAAGTATTAATAATAAATCATATATGTGTCCATATGTTTTACAAAATTTGCGGTTATTGAAACTGGGAACTGCCCATTGGTTCGACAGCCCATTGGTTCGACATCCCATTGTTCCGACCATATTAAACTCATTGTTCCGAAGTCCGTTCCGAAATCATCATGATGCCCTGTGGTTAAGGTCTGGTTAGGTTTAGGCACAAAAACCACTTGGTTAGGGTCAGGAAAAGATCATGGTGTGGGTTAAAATGAAAAAGAAAGTGACAAACTCATAAGCCGTGAGCCTGCTCCGCCTCAAGCTGGTCGCGGTGCACCACACGCCCGCCGCGAGCCGTTCAGCACCGCGGACAGTTGGACTAATGGGATGTCGAACCAATGGGCTGTCGAACCAATGACACAGACCCATTGAAACTCCGGAAAGAAAAATTGACCCATTGTTTTGAGCTTTCGTTCTGGAGCCAACGAATGCTTTGTTCCTCTACATTTGCATGGATGATGTGCTGTTGCCATGTCTGTTTCATGGCAATAAATCATTGGAAGACAGTCATAGGAAGTGTGGTCCAGAATACAACACAATGCAGACTTAAACACCCACTACAAATGCACAGTGAGGTATTACACTTTCATTTTGTGTCTCTTTCCAAACCAAGTTTAAATGCAAGGCATCATACACTGTGCGCCATCTGCAGAACAGAGTAAGGATCAGTATATAGTAAGAACAGTAGACACGTGCAGTCGTGGATCACATACTCTCTCTTGGGTCATCCAAGTTTGTAATGAACAAGCTAAGCTAACTATAAACTATAATTACCAATTATAAATGGAGTGAAAATTAATCATGGGATTTTTTTTCTGCTGAGAAAAGAAAACCGCTGGACTGCAACATATTACATGTCCATTTAATGAAATTTGAATCCTATGTTTAAACACACGGGTGCAGCATACATAATGGGCATAAAGAGAAGAGTACAATTACCTTCCAGCATTCCTCAAATTAAAAAATGAGTGCTTACCACAAGGAGAAACCAAAGGATCCAAAGCGAGCCCACTAACTTCATATCTTCCCCTCACAGGCGAATCTCTGGAGAGAAAGAACAGAACAACAAGTTACTATCAGAAAACAAGTTGTCTACCGTGAAAGTGACTGACTGAGCAAACAGATGGCTGTTTCGTATCAGGATTATGGCCTCTCAGGAGAAAACACCAACAGCAGTCATTAATCTGAAACGCAAAGCACTGCAGCAGATTCACTGCAGTTTATGCCATTTCACACTTTTCCTGTGTTTGTGTGTGTGTGTGTATTTGAGAGACAGAGAGAGAAAGTGTACCTGTCAATATGTAAAACAACAGCATTAAAGAGTAATGTTATATTGTGAGAGCAAGTGGAGGAAGAAAAAAGCCAGAGACACAGTCAGACAAAAATAGTTGATGGTCATTAATCATCCTGTGCTGAGCCTCCACTCCTGCAGGACGGCAGCAGCTTATCTGCCAGTTCAGTAACTGAGTGCATGTGAGATTAGAATTCACTTCAGGTCTCTTTGCTTTGGCTCGCATAGTCCCTGTTGGAAGCCCATCACTCCGCACTTTGAACAGTTAGGACGACCTACTGGTTGTTTTCCACACCCCGCAGCGGCCCAGGGGGCAGGCTTTTTAGCAGATCGACATGCATGAGCAAGTCCTAAGTCTCTGGGAAAGGTTAACAGGATTGATAGTATTTGTTTTGGCTTTCGGACGCACACTGATGGTAGGCTACTTAACATGAGGATGACAAACCTAGAGCTGCATCTGCCAAGAATTGAGGGCTAGGATTGCTGATCCCTAACCGAAGATCCCTTCAATTACCATCAGATATCTCATTTCTCATTAATAATTGATGGTAGATATGAGGATGATTATTATCATTAAGCCTCAGATGTCTTCTGTGATAAATGTACTTGCAGAAAAAGACCATATCTTATTCTCTGTTCCAGGAACAAGTATGGACCCACCCTCTGTTTCATTTAGTGGAGCTGAAACGATCTGTTAATTTATTCAAGAAAAAAAATATATACGTGGTTGTGAGGATTTGATGCTTTTATTTGTATTATCCGACAGTTCAGTCAGACAACTCAACGTTTATTTCAACAGGAAAACATAGTTAGAGTTTGACGTCTAGACTTCAACCTCATCACTCCCCACAGATATGTTTACACGAAACATTGGGAATGATTAAATCTTTACCCCCTATCTGGAGCCTGCAGGTGGATGCTGGGGTGGAGGTGGGGCTGAAAGAGCGAGTGACAGTACTGATGCAGGGCAGCAGCATAGACAATGCAAAGGGAGAGCTGGGAAGATTTTGCAGCTTAAATAGACAGCCAAATTAGGAGGGTGTGTTTGCAGATGACATATGGGGAGTGCCGTACTTAGCTTGCGGGCGTCACTCCATTAAACTGAGGCTCTTTGTTCAACAAACAAGCAATCTGCAGCCATCACCTTGGTTGCTCGGCATTTTCCACTATTTTCAAAAAATTATAGACCAATGATTATTTGAGAAAATCATCTTAAACGTACAATTTGAAATTGCAGGCAGCATTTTGAAATTCATTTGACGACTTGACATACATCTTATTTCCTGTGAGTAGGAAATGGTGCCTCTTAAGTTGATTTCCTGTTGGCAGATATAATGAGTCCATTGTCTCTATACAGCCATGTTCAGCCTCGATCATAAACTCTGCTCAATATTTCAAGTGTACCAAAAGACTATACAGTTTGTGGATCCAGCATCCTGGAAAGCTCAGTCATGGACACAACAACAGGCTGCTCCATATCCCAGTTTTGAAAAGAGCAAAAAAGAAACACAAAGAAGCACAGAAAAACACCAATCAAAGACAAAGGGATAACAGGAGGCAGAGGAGGGAAAGAATGGATCTCAAAATGGCCTGTAGGAAGAGAAGATCTACAATAATCATCATCATGCCAGAACAGAGAATTCACACTAGTCAATTATCAACTAATCACCTCCGGGTGTTGCAGGAGCATGAAGATTTGTCTAAAAGTGGGAAGTCTGAAGTCTGAGAGAGACGTGTTTCTACAAGTCAAAAAACAGCATCAGGAGACAGGAGACGCATCAGGACAATTGACTCAGCTGACTTCATATTATACTGTAGTTGCTGCCACCTTAGAGATATCTTTGATATCACAAACTGTAATGTAAACTACTTTTAAAAAGCAAATTTACTTGAGGAGAGTTAGATGAGAAGATCGATTGCACTGTTCATCACAAAGCTGGAGATGGCTAGCATTAGCTTACCATAAAGGCTGGAAACAGGCGGAAACAGCCTGGCTCTGTCCAAAGGTTGAACAAACACACTCAACCCCCCTGTGCTAACAGTGACAACAAGATTCATGCAGATTACAAACACACTTATATTAATACTTTTGAAAGCCACTTGCATGTCATTTAAATATGACTTTGGACAGCTAATTTCATAAAATCGCAACACGTTCTCACTCCTTACTCGTGAAATTATGCAGTTTTGTTAGTGGCCTATGCTTCAAACTAAGACGCTCTAGGTACCCTCTGGTGTCAGTTTTGAGTGCTCAATGACTGTGTGCCAATTTCTGTTCGTTACATTCATAGTGTCTTGAATGAACTTCTATGTTGACAGGAAATGTATAACCAAAACTACCTTAGATTTAGGCAACAAAACTATGTGGTTAGATTTAGAAAAAAAGACCATGGTTTGGGTTAAAATAAGTACATTTGTTACGTGACTTAAGTAACTTAAGGACAAAAAATAAAGTCTGTTATGTATGTCATGTGACATTACTAACAATGCTACGTAGTATAAGAACTTCAAGGTTTTACACAGAACATGAACAGCAGTCTCCTGGGTGATAGTCCTGTGTTTGTTTGACCCATCCACCACTCCTCACTCCCTCTTCTTCCCACCCTACTCGAACTTTCTTGCTCTTTCTTGCGACATTGCAACAGATGGGTTTTATCTCTATGAACAGATAACGCATATGAATAGAGAATCAGTAGGCGATGAAATGTTGGTACTCGAAGTGTTCTGGTTTCTGTTTGCAGTCCGTGTGTATAGTCCAAGTAGCATTGACTAATCACGTTTCAACGGCAGGTAAACTATAATAATAATTATAATACATTTTATTTGTTAGGGTGCCTTTCAAGCCACCCAAGTTCGCCTTACAGCAAAGATTAAAAAAAGCATACATCAGACAAGAAACACAGCATACAAAACATCATACAAATACATTAAAATAGAGGGGAAGACAGTAAGACAGTGTAAGAACATAATGCATTTGATCAGGTGGAATGGGAAAGTCTGAACAGATGTGTTTTGAGTTTGGATTTGAACAGATTGACAGATGTGGTGTTGCGGAGGTCAGGGGGGAGTGAATTCCAGAGCTGGGGAGCAGAGCGGCTGAATGCTCTGCTCCCCATGGTGGCCAGGCGGGCAGGGGGAACGGAGAGGTGGATGGAGGAAGAGGATCTGAGCGTGCGAGCGGGTGTGGCAGTAGCTATGTTCCATCCAAAAGTGATTTGAATCATTGGGAAATGCGCATTAAAAGAAATACGAATCCTGTGTGTTTCCATTAAATGTACGGACTTTGGTGAAAACTATGAACTTGCGCGAGTTTTCTGCAGAACTGGAAACAAAACAAGTCTCGCATTCTTCTTCTTCTACGTTTTCTGGCGGTTGGCAACCAGCTTGTAAATGCATTACCGCCTTCCCAACCCAGAGTGTGGATATCACCATGGAGAGAGGTGCGCCACGTCAGACTTAGTTCGAACATAACTGTTTCCATCCCCCATTTTGCGAATCAACATTTTTTCGAATCAACCAAAACCCGGCTAAAATGAGCGTATTTTAGTTTGTGCGAATCGGGATTTTAATTCGAATTTTGGCGTTTCCATCATAATTTTCCGATGCGATACTTCTAGATGCACATCTAAACAGGCTGATGGAAACATGGCTAATGTGGAGGAGGTCAGACAGGTATGGAGGGGCGAGGTTGTGAATGGCCTTGACAGTGAGCAGTAAAATCTTGTATTGGATACAGTGTGTGATGGGGAGCCAGTGGAGCTGCTGCAGGACTGGTGTGATGTGGTGAGTGGATGGGGTCCTTGTGATGATACGAACTGCTGAATTCTGTACCAGTTGTAGTTTATGGAGAGTTTTTTGTGGAAGACTGAACAGGAGGGAGTTGCAGTAGTCAAGACGGGAGGTGACGAGACTGTGGACCAGAATTGCAGCTGTGTGAGGTATGAGGGCGGAGGCGGTTGATGTTGCGGAGACGGAAGTAGGCTGACCGGGTTATGTGGTTGATATGAAAAGTGTAAGAAAGCGTGCTGTCGAGGATGACACCCAGACTCTTGACCTGTGGGAAAGGAGAAATGTAGAAACTGTCCATCTGTCCGTGTTAAGAGGTCAAATGCAATCTCGAAACCAAGTGCCTATCATCTGATGAATTCAATCAATCAATCAATCAATCAATCAATTTTATTTATAAAGCCCAATATCACAAATCACAATTTGCCTCACAGGGCTTTACAGCATACGACATCCCTCGTATGACCCTCGCAGTGGATAAGGAAAAACTCCCCAAAAAAACCCCTTTAACAGGGAAAAAAAAAAGGTAGAAACCTCAGGAAGAGCAACTGAGGAGGGATCCCTCTTCCAGGACGGACAGACGTGCAATAGATGTCGTACAGAACAGATCAGCATAATAAATTAACAGTAATCCGCATGACACAATGAGACAGAGAGAGAGATAGAGAGAGAGATGCAGGTAATAACAGTAGCTTACAACAACATTATTGAAAGTAATAATATTATAGTTCTGGCTACTGTGGTACAATATGTTGAAAGTATGTATTAATATCTGGCAGTATACATGTGTGACAATAGTCATATGTGTATAATAACAATAGAAGTATGACTAATGACTAATGATGGCAGCAGCAGCAGGAGGCATCTGGCAGGACCACGGCAGCAGCACAACCACACACGTCACGCTGTCCAGGCACCGCTGCGATATGAGTTAATCTGAGAGACAGTGGAGCACAAAGGCTCCGGA